CATATGACACCCGAGACTAAGCCTTTCATAAATATACAGTTGAATAAATTTTGTCGTGCAGGGTGTGTTAGATGCTAAATACGATCCCTAGGATTGCAGATCTAGTTGTTTATGTAGATAGCACTACCAAAATCAATTGCCCCACTTTTTCAACCCCCTTGGCTTGGATGAAGATCTAGCGAACATTTATGTACAGTGGATACAATATTCAAGTAATTAGCAGACTTACTCACAGCTTATGCTACAAAACAAAGATGTCAGTAAACAAAGTTGCACACGTTTAGGCTCCTGAAAAAAAAGGGGAAACTATCACAAGCGTAGAGAATAGTCCACAGATAAATTGAATATGCATATTTATGAGGTGAATGAAAAGGTTTGGAGTAAACGTAGAAAGAATGCTGGTGTTTTATCTACAAAGTTCAAAGACACAGAGAAACTTTCATTTTCCTTAAAATGGAATTAAATCGCCAATGTCATTAGCTAAGGGTGGAAAGAAAGATTCATCGAATAGTCCTAGAGATCACGTGGTGAGAGCATCACGTGATTGAAACTCAGCAGAACGTCTCGCTTAAATAAAACAACAAAAAGAAAACAAACAAACAAGAAAGTGAGATGTCAAACTCTGAAGACGCTCTGCTTTCGGAAAGTTTAGTCATCCTATAAGAAACCAAATATCTCGATGAAGGAAAACAACATTGATCTATTGATGAAGCGATAAACAATCGCGTGAGGCACGCAACCGTCTCACACATCGAACCATTCATCAGCTGATTCTACCGTATGCTATTAATTTAAAATTCGCTTGCGGACCAGGACTGAGAATGGCTTGACCGACGACAGCGGCTGCGTCGCGGTTGCTAATTTTCCCGAGCATAGCTTGAGTTTCTCGGCCTGTTGGCCTACTGGCGAGGGTTTTCTAAGGATTTCCTGAAATTTTTGGAGTTTTGATTTTATCTCATTAAAATGTCTGAGAGGTTGTCCTGAAGTATCTCTTATTTGCTACTTTGTCCTTTCACTTATTCTCTGCTCACCACGATGCT